CATATTCTCTATATTTTATGAGAAAACAAAATTGTACTTTCCAACGAAACAAAACTGAGATTATTGTACACTACAAAACTATGAAATTTTTCTGGATAAAAATTTTTATGAAACTCATCAAAAACAATAGAAATATTCCAGATAATGGAATTTAAACAAAATTTGAAACAAACTTTGTATAAAGAATGAAAAACAGAAAAAACATACAAGTCTTTACAAGATTGATTCCGACACGTTAAAGCGAAGGAAAAGAAAAACATATTGATATAAAAAAATATGGCTTATTTTTCGAATTACAAATGGTTTATATTTGCACAAGAAGCGCCTGTAAGTAGGCAACTGGCCAAGAATTGGTATATAACCTCCAAAGGTATTCCACGTCACATGTTTAGTAACTCTCTGTATACATAAATCGACAATCCTCCTACACGCACGATGTCGTTTTCACACACCGAAATCCGTTCGATTTGAGATCTAGCATGTAAGTAAAGTAAAGGGGAGAAATAGACAAGCTTTTGCTATAAAGTAGACGCGTCTATGGAGTATTCGAGTTAAGCAGAAAGATGGCGCATCAGATTTTTCTTTCTTACTTTTTACCGTACTATTGGATATTCTGAATCACGATGGCAATCTTTTTCATTGGTATGAAAGCGTGGAACATCATATTTGCAATTCGATATATGGCAATATTTGAATTAATATTAACAGATTTGTGCCAAGGAGGTGTATATTTTTCCTCGTTAAAAGAATTTAACGTGTTTCAAAAAAGATCTTTTGTCAAATTTTCTATTTTCTCGGCAGATGAGATTATCTATGTTTTTTTAAACAGCTTTTTAAATTATCTCTTAATTTACTTTTTCTTTGCATCCAACGATTCATAATTCATTAAGGAAGGCGAAAACTTTTCATGAACAATTTAATCGCATCTTCATTTTTTATTTAATCCATTCGATTCATTTTTTAACTTTCAAAACTGGAAAAGAAACTTTTACTTGAAGTGGGGAAAAAAAACGGGGGAAAATATGTATACACTAGTCAAGAAATATCAAGAAGTTTTCCCAAATTAAATATTTCATTTACTTTAGTAACGTTTCCTTGCTAGTTATATGATGCTTCAATTTTCGTAATATCATTTAATTAAATTATGCAGGAATTTAAGCATTTCGTTCACGTATGACGAGAAATAATAGCGCATGAGAGGGAACTTGGTTAATAAAGGTTATAGTTTAAGATGCATTTATAAAATAAGTTTCGAGAAAATTAAATTGCACTTAGTAGTATATCAGATTAAATTAAATATGTTTGCTTTATAATAACTACGGTATATATATATATATATATATATATATATATACGTGTTTCAAAATGTTTCAAGCAAGATATAATATATCCTTTTGCATTAATAATATTTGCATTCTAGATTATGTTTGATTGATATCATGATAATATGAAAATTATTTCGATATTGCGAATTTAAACTCATTTCTAGTATTTTAATTAATTTTTTCATGTCTGTTTGCGTGTTTTTTTCTTGAACAGAATTCTTGAACGAAGTGAATTAATGTAAGTACATTGTTAAATATGAATATTAGGATATATACATTAATTCTCACTTTTAATATTATGTGCATTAATTTCCATTTTATATTTTTTACATTTATCGAGAATTTTATTAATAAATTTTATTTTAATAATATACGAAGCATAATTTTATAATTTAATTTTATAGTACCTTTACCTTAGATAATTCAATAAGATTAAAAGGAATTCAAATTAAATTCTATAAAATTATAAAGAAAATTTAAAAAAAAAAAAATTAATCTTATTTCATAGAATAATTAATCGAATATTCATATATTTCATAAAAGTTATTATTTCATGTTTTATTAATATTTTACATTTTACATATTTATATCTTAAAGCAGAGACATTTATAACATATATTTATAATAGATAACAGAGTATAAATGAAACGATAAACGGAAGATAACACGCATATAATAGATAACAAATTTATAAAATAAAAAATATAGAATAAAAGTTACAACATCTATTTAGCTTATAAGTTTATTTTACTTTGATATTTCATTCCAAATTTTTATTTCAAACATTTTATTCCAAATATTTTATTGCAAATAACTTCGTTAAATAATTCATCCAACTCGACAAATATATTAACATATATCCTTTACATTATATAATAACAAAAATTTTTCTTCGTTGAAAGAGGTATTCAACACAAGGATATCAAACATCTCAAATTCAATGCAAACACACCAGATATCCCATCCACTTATATCTATCTATCCTCTACTGTGTATCTAATAATCTCAGCTTGCAATCTCGTACGTAGGATTATCCAATGTCTACGTATCGTTCAAAATCGGCCATCGGACAGATATAACACGTAATCATCGATCAATTTCGGTTCAATTGGTAAGGTAGCGCGAAAAATTCGATTTCGGCTTAATTGATGCGCTTGCTGCGCGCGATGCGCGCGCTGCATTCGAGGGATTGCGCATGCGCATGTCCCCTCGCGTGCTTCGTTAATCACGCACGTTGACGGTTGAATCTTGGCAAAAAGAAAAGGGGAGAAGGAAACGAAGAAGTGAGCGCATTTGTGAGTGTGAGGGAGGGGAAGGGAAGAGGTAAGGCATAAAAGACATGAATGCGAGTCGTTGCTCGCTTTGCTGTTCGCACAGGAAGCTTCATCGAGAGTTATACGCGGGACTGTACTACGTGCACGCTTCGTTTATCGAATTTCTCTCTTTCTCTCTTTCTATCTCTCTTTCTTTCTTCTTTTTTTGTTTTCATCTTTTTCTCATTCTCTCTTCTAGTTATTCTCTTCCATAAAATAATAAACGTTATTTTTTTTTTTTTTTACTTTTGTAATAATAGCGAATTGTAATAATATTCTTTTTAAAGAATAAATGAAAATCGTAGATTATTCTGATTTCATTTTTTCTAATCGTGTTTTTTTCGTTTGTTTCGAATAATTGGAAAGAAAAAGATTGATTAATTGATTTTTTTTTAGTTGTTTGTAAATTGCAATAACTTTCAAAATATTTATTCGATTTGATAAAAATATTTATCGGAAAACATTTGGATGATAATACTTGAATTTAAACATAAAATTATTATTAAAATTATTGGACTAATTTGTTAAAACAAAAAAAAAGCAATTTAAAAAAGTTAAGCAGATAAACATTGTAGATATTGCTAATAATAGGTTTGTAATAGGTATTTATTTTAAGATATTTTCTAAATTGATAATTTTTTAATATTATTAGTTTCATATTTTTTTATACATAAATAAAATAAAGTATAAAAAAAAATGTGGTTTCATTTTTAAAAGTTGAAAATTATTATTATTATTATTTTTTATAAAAATAGATGTTTTAAAAATTTTAATCTAAAACTTTATTATTTTTAATTATATATAAACTTTTTCTGATAAACTATTTGAAATGATATATCTTCCCACGGAAAAAATGAACAATTTCTGATTAAAATCTTGAAAAATATCGTAATCACGTATTCGAGTATATATAGAAGTGTGAAAAATATATATTTATTGAAATTATTTGTTACATAGTTGACCGACATACTTACAATGTTTGCGATTTATTCGATAAAATAATCTGTTCATTATCTAAGTATGACATTTTTTTTTTTAAACGCTCATTTTTAAATGTCATTCGAGTATAAATAACGAAGATTGTATCGATAATCTATATTATATCCAAAACAAAAAGCACTTAACTTTATATAAAAATGTATATAATTAAATTCTTTTTTTTTTTTTTTTAGAAAGATTATCTAACAATTTAATTTTATTTTCGAATCGCATATCAATATATATAACATTTTCAACAACCGATATTCACATCACGGACTATACTAGAGACCATTTTCTTCCTTGGAAAATGTATTACTTTACCTTCATTAGTTTGCACGTTATCCAAGTTCAAACACGCTATATAATTTTCCATTTAATCTTGTAAATGAGCTCAAGGTTTATTAATGAACATGCAGCCGATGTGAACTAAAATTTCACAATTATATGGATTATTATTGAAACATTGGAAATTTATTATTAATAAGAAAGATCTTTATCTAAATCTAACCGATAATTTATATCGATTATCGAATAGACGAGAAATAAATTGGGATGCTTTATCGGAGAAAAATATTAATTTCCCCATACGTGCAATGCTTTATCATGAAACAAATATATTATTAGTTTTAAGAAACGTTTTTTAAGGCGACGCAATGATACAAATGAGGGCCACTGGCGTGGGATATGAGTCATCTAACGACTTGTTTTACTTGACGAACATCCATAAAACCGATCTGATGGCTTACAAATAAGCATACTCGACACAAGCTTATTCCGATATTTCGCTGACTACGAATATTATTTTTACCCACTTGCCTTATCTCTATTTGCGGGCTTCGTGAAAAAGAAAAATAAATCTATCGATATATCGATTTTTTTTATATTTCAATTTATTTGAATAGCATTTGTTTAAGAAGTCTTGTCCCCAAATAAACTTTCAATAAACTAAGAAATAATAAAATAGAAGAATAGAATAAAAAAGAATAAAATATTCGACTAAAGATTAAAAAAAAATTCTATCTTACACACACACATATATATATATTTTTACAACATTTAAAAATTAAATGAATAAATTATTTTTTAATACACACAATCAATTCTTTTATAACACGGTATTGTAAAAATTTAATAAACTTAACGATTCTCGTACACGAATATATTTCCATCGCACTGTTTTTGTTGACATACCTCCGATTCCTAGCTTTAATACAATTCCCACGAATTAATACGTGTCTATAGGAGAGTCGACTGTGTGTACATTTTCGACATTCTGCGCGTGAAAACAAATAGCGTTCGCGTGGAGATTACGGAACATTCGTATTGTATGTAAACAGAAGGACAAGAGTTATAAGAGGAAACGATGTCGATTTCGTTTCAGTTATTGGGCGGTGCTTGCTTTAGCCACGGCCCGTACACGTTCTACAAAGCGGTTAGAATAGGAAATGGTCGTGTACTTCGTCTTGGAAGCTTCTTCCTCACGAAATTGTGGAGTGATGCCGATCTTGTCAGCATCGGGGAACTTCAGCTGTTGTGGATGGACAGCCGGGGACCGAATCAACCTCTGGCATCGTTGCGGTTGTACTTCTTGCCGGAGAACACCCCGGATGGCCGAAGGGACACGCATGGAGAGGTGAGTGGTTTTTTGCTTTCTTATTTTTCCCCCCTTTTCCTCTTACTTTTCGTGGACGAATTACCGCGTATGTGTGTGTGTATGTATGAAGCATCTTTATTAATTTAATTTAACTTCATTGTCGACAAAAGGATTGCAAGGATTACTCTTTTATAATTATATCGTTCAATAAATAATTAATAATTGGAAATTTGCAAAGATTTATTAATATAAACGATTTTCTGATTATTGATAGTCTTAAATTAAAATAGAATTATTTTTATAGCGGGAGAAATAAATACTAACTTCAAATTTGATTCAAGATATTTTCGAATGTTTATTTTCTTTATTGTAAAATTATCTTATTATAATTTAAGACTAATGAATAAGATACATTGCATAATAAATATTTGCAATACTCTATTTTTGTAATAGTTATTTATTGATCGAAATAATTATAAATACGTAACGAGCAATTTTATCCGTCGAATTGTGTACTGAGGAAAGTTAAAAAAACAATCTATTTATATTTCTCATCCTCCGCGATGAATAGATTAGATTCTTTTTTTTTTTTTAAACTGTTCGTATGGAATCGATATTTTTAGGATTCGTATAATAATAAGAATTTCGCGAAAACAAGTTATTTTAGAACATTTCCATAAGATAAATAAAACCGTTAGGTATTAATTTTATTTGACGATATAATATAATATTTATATTGTAATTATATAGGATATAGGATATATCAAAATAGTAGTATATAAAGTAGCAGTTTTGTAGACAAAAAAAAAAAATAGATACTTTTTATATATGTATATATATATGTATTTTTTTTTATTCTTCATACGTATCTATTAAATTTCGTTTCCATTCGGTTCGATCGTAGATAGAAAGTAAAGTTTCGAATGTAATGAATCAGACGAATTGCTACATTGCTCTTATTGCGAAAATAATGAATTGGAGAAGCAATCTTAGTTCATAACGACAGCACCGCGTAAATAGCTATATTCTGTAAAATAGAAAGTAATATTTAAACCGGTAAATCGGCTAGGATTGTTTCGTTGTAATCTTATTGTGAAAGTAAGAGAGGAACATTTTCTTATTCCATAAATGAATAAGAATTATCGGGGACTGGGCTAAAGTAATTAAGATTGTAAAACGTTACGACAATCTATGTATCAGATTTTGTTATCTTAAAGATTTTTTTATCTTTGAGATAATAAAATAAATACATCGAATAATCAAAATGAAAGTGTTGGAGTATTTAAATGAAACGTGTCAATAACGTGATATTTTATTCATAGGATAAAATTATAAAAATTTTTTTTTTTTCAACGACACGCTTCAAAAAGATTTCATTATTGAAATATGCAATAAAATTTGAATAAGAGTCGTTTTATTTAAAAACTTTGAA